GCGAGGGAGGCGCCCGGCGCCGGGGGATGGCTGCCTAGCGAGAGGCGGCGGGCGGCAGGCATGGAGTCCGCCGGCCTCTGCATCAAGCAGGAGCCCCGCGACCCAGGTGAGAACAAAGGCCTCCCGCCGCCGCCGCCGCCCCCCCGCCCGACGCCACCTGCTGGCCTCCCGCGGGCGGGAAGCGGCGCCCGGAAAGGCGCGCGGGGGAGGGCCAAGTTTGCACGGCGGGGGGAGGGGGCCCGGCCCCCCCCCGCCCGCTCGCCCGCTTTGTGCCCCGCCAGTCCGCCCGACGGAGCCGCGCCGGAGTGTAACGTGGCCGGTGGCTCGAGCGAAAGGAAGGAAGGAAGGAGGGAGGGAAGGAAGGAAGGAACCGGGCGAGGAGACGCGGAACTCTGCGCCCCCGGCCCCGCGCTGCTGGGCCCCCGGGGGGTCTCGGAGGGACGGGGCCGGTTGCATGGGGCGGGGGGAGAGGATCGCGCTGCGCCGCTCCCCGCCAGCCCGGACAGCCGCCCCGCGAGCGCAGATGCGCCGGTCGCTCCTCCAGGGCTGCACCGAGGCCCGCCGAGCGCCAGCTCCCCCGTGGGCGAGAGCCCCTCCATGTGCTAGCTTTCAGCAGCCAAAGTTTATTCAGAAGCATGAGGACTTGCATCTTTGTTCGGGGTGGGGGGGGGGCGGAAGGCCGTTCCAACCTCACTTCCTAAAGTACCTGAACGCCCATGCTTCCCCGCGATGTCCTGTCGCGTCACCCTGTCTGGACTGTATTCTCCTTGAGGGCAGGGACCTGCCTGTTTCTGCAAAATACTGACCCGATCCTCTCCCTCCTCCCTGTTGTACGTGGGCTCTTGCTTTAACTCTGCTCCGGCCCCGGGGTGGAAAGGGCTCCCCCCCCCCTTCTGGACCGTTTTCTCTCCCTCCCTTTCCACCTGCTGGCTTGAGGATTGGGGGGCGAGGGGGGCTGAGGGACAGCGGCCTGAGTGGGCTTCCTTAACATGCCAACTGGGAATTTCCTGAGGTTGCATTTACGGGATAGCCCGGCCCCTTGCTGGTCGTGGGGCCCTGGCATTGCCTGCTTCTGGGGCCGGGCCGGATATGAAACTCTTTAAAGGAAGCTGCCCTCCTATCCCAAGCTTTGTTGTGTTTTCCTCAAGGAGTTACTTACCGTTTATCCTACTTACCAGGGGAAAGAGACAGGCATAGTATGAATTTGGTTAGAGAACTGCCTTGCCAGGTACGATTAAAAAAACCCACACCGCTGTTTCCAACGATGGACAGCCAGAAGCCCAGAAGGAACTGGTACTCAGAGGTAGACTTGCTCAGCTTTTGAGGGCTCCATTCAGAGTCAATAACCCACAGTAACTTGCTGGGCTTGGCACAGTTCTTTCTTTTAAAGCAGGGGTGGTAGATCTCTCTGATGCTCCAGAAGTTAGTAGGTCTCAAGTTGCTCCAGCCCTCCCGTTGCCCCTGCTGACTGGGTCTGATGGGAGCTAGACAAGACCTAGAAGGCCACAGCTACTTCTGGTCACCATCAGATCATGTGGCAGGAAGTTCCATAAGTTAATCGACTTGTCCCCATTCTTTTCTAAGTCTGCTGCCTGTAAAGTTCAAGTGAGTCCAGTTAATTAAAGCAGAAGGAGAAAACTTTCTGTTTGCTGTCTATTCCAGGCATCATATGATAAACTTCTGTCTTGTTCTTGACCTCCAGCTATCTTACTCAACTGAAAAGGTCTGAATGTCCGTGCCTTTTCTCATACGCAGTCGCTTCTCCAACCCATAAATGATTTTCCTTGCCGTTTTCTGCACAGTAAGAATTCTGGCTTGTCCGCCGTGTCTGCAATTCAGAGAGAGACTGCTTTTGTATTTGGAAGTTCCTTTTTGGGTACAGTTCTATGCATCTTTGGACAGAAACCCGCCTCTACAATCTATGGCTAGCTGGGAGCTGTACAATTTCTTTTTCCTTTCAAAACACACAGAATTTTAACTAGTTCAAAAAACATTAAAAGACCTCTCTCCCATGAATTTGCCCAGTCTGGTTATGCTCTCAATTTTCAGGGTGCGATTACTGAACTGCACTATCAGTGCAAAAAAAGGAGGCTTGTGGTGGGGGGGAGTGAGGTTTAAAAAAGTAGGTGAGGAAAACCCCCCCCCCCCCGAAAAATAATAGGTAGCAGTAGATGCACTGGGATAATTTCGGGGGAAACATCAATTCATGCTTAGTGGTCACCAAGGGATTTTCTTCAACCCTTGTGATTGCTTTCTTGTAGCGGTTGATGAGCTCTTTAGGCAGTGGCATGGTCCACCAGTTTCACTTCAGTGGTTTTTTTATTTTATTTATTTTAGAACAAGGAAAACAAGGTAGTAAATTAAACAGGGAATGCCGCTTTCTTTTTTCTGCTGTATTTGCACTGTTCTGCTGTAGCAACAGCTCCACCTAGAGGTCATGTAGTGGAAAAGCGGGAACGGACTCGCTCTTTGCAGTTTGGGTCCCAATGCTGTGAAGAAACTGAACGTAGATGTGCGAGGAGAACTCATCATGTCATCTGATTTGTGGGGGAGCGAGGGGGGATGGAGTGGAGTCACGTGCCTGACTGACTGTGAACTGGAGCACTCCGGAATCGCAATATTTAATTGCACGCTCCGGTAGTGGTACTGCTAACATCCTTTCTGTGTGTCTCCCCAGAAGACGCGCCATTCCCGGACGGGACCTCTGAGCCTCTGAGCAGCGGCGAGCTGAGCGCCGGGCGGCCCTTAAGGTCCTCCGGCAATGGCCTTTTGCAAGGGAATGCCAAAGAGCCCGCCGTTCTCCTGATGGGAGGGCGCAAGTATTCGGACCACTGCGAAGAGCGGGCGTCACGGCCCGGCAAGAGCCGCATCCCCGGCCGGGACCACCGGCGCTACTACCATGAGCACTGGAGGGCCGAGTACCTGATGGACTTCAACGCTGCCCGGCACGGGATGATCTGCATGGTGTGCGGAAGCTCGCTGGCCACTCTCAAGCTGAGCACGATCAAGCGGCACATCCGGCAGAAGCACCCGTACTCCCTGGCGTGGAGTGCCCACGAGAAGGAGGCGATCATGAGCAGCTGGGACGCCCACCTGGGCCTCGAGGCGGAGACGGACGCGGCCGACCCGTCTGACACACTGCAGGGGAGCCACGGTAGGGCAGCTTCAAGCCGGGCGTGCGGACGTGGGGCTTGCGGGATCGATGTTGGCCTTGTGCCCAAAGATCAGCGCGGGTTTTCCAGCTCCTGGTCTTAAGCATGCATGCTTTCCTTCCGGGGTCTTCGCTTGGTGTTCATGGTCCTTCTGGGTCATTTTTTAAAGTTTCCCAAGACATTTGTCCATTTACAGCTCGCTGTCAAGGGTGGCCCGTCCGGGCATCATCCTTATTTGGATCTGAAATAGCCCTGCCTCTTGTTCTTAAGGTTCCTGCGCTTTCCTTTGCGTCTGCCTTCTGGAAAAAAGGAGTCTTTTGTACCCACCATGGCAGCCATTTTATAACTAAGCAAGCTGCTACCGTGGTAGCCATTTTGTGAGAGCACCCATGACACTATCAGAATTCCATATGGGAATATGGCTATCCAGGGGACCACCAGCCTTGCTGTGAACATGCTTGGTGAGCGAGTCCAGCAAGAGGCACAGTTTTGGAGATATTCCCGCTGCAGGGGCCTCGTTGAGCATGTGGGAAAGGACTCCTGTTGCAAACAGTATATAACATCACTCCCAAATTCTGAGCATGGGAATTCCGGTTTGTAACTTCCCCTGGAGTTTCAGTGGCTCCTTGTCTTCTCTGTATCCGGGAACTGGGAGGCGAAGACATGTCTTTTTCACCTAGCTTTTATCGTAATGATATTTCATGCTTTCCTTTGTTTTTATTTTGGAGCTCTGCTTTCCAACAGTTCCATAAAGGTGGTGGGCAGATACAATTAATAGTGAACAATTGCCAAGAACAGTTTAGCTGTTTACTCATTTATAATACTTCCGCACCATTTAATATAATAACATCCCAGGCATTGCAAACTTGTGGCTATTGATGATAGTCTTCAGTTGGCCGCAGGAAAGCTCAGATCCCAGCTCCGAGGTCGGAGTCCTTTTCCAACCACGTGGCGGGCAATGGAGTTCTGCTCGCAACATACGCAGATCATGGCATTCATCTCCAGGAAGGGCATCTGGGGAGACGTGGGTGGGGAGCCTGGCCTCCAGCATGATTTAACATCACCTGGTACCACGGAGGGCTCCTCTCCTCCCAACTCCGGGGCACCATAGTCACATGGCCAGAGTGGGCCGGCCGAAGCTCTTGGAGGCCAGGAGGTGTGTGGAGGCAAACTTGGAATTCTTCCTCCTTCCGTCCTGTGCAGGAAGCCGGGAATCCTGAGGGTTACAAGCAGGGTCACCGGATTGTACCCTAAGCACTTCCCACTATGGGCTTGTCGACAGACTCACGTCCTCTCCCCGTCTTGCTTCTGAACAGGAGAACTGTCCTTCAGCGGGGGCCGCAGGCGGAGGCGTGGCCTGGGCCCCCTCTCCGCTCATGGCGGCCGGCGCTCCTCTGGCCTCGCCATGAAGGCCTCCGCGGAAGGGGAGACGCGGAACCTGGAGCAGTACCTGAAGGAGTCCCTGCAGAGCTGGTTCCAGTCCGAGTTCCTGATGGACTACGACCCGCAGGGGAACCGCCTCTTCTGCATGATGTGCGGCTCCTCTTTGCCCAGCCTGAATCTGGACGACATCAAGCACCACGTGATGGAGGCTCACCCCAGCTCGCTTGGCTTCGGCCCCTCCGAAAAGGCGACCATTCTGGAGGCGTGGAACTCCCGGACCGCCGAGGGGAGAAGCGCCGGGGAAGCGCCAGTGGGTGAGATGGGAAGAGGGCCGAGGGTGGGCCGGGGCAGAGTCCGCGTCCACTGCTCTTACGCGCAACTCTTAACATTCACGATCAGATCCATTCTGAAGTCAGGTAGTCCGTTTAGGCCCGATCAACACGCGTAGAAGTGCCGTTTAGGGGTTTAGATGTGCTTGGCTCTTTAGGAAACCAACCTGCCGATGCTGCAGAATACCAGCTTTTTCCATGGATTTTTTTGGGTAACTTTCTGTAATTTTGCACACACTCAGTGGTAAAAATAAGAAGCACTGAGGGAGATGCATGGGGTGAAGAGAGGCATTTTAGCTTATCACTGCCTCTCAGGAAGAGGAGGGCTGCCTTGGAAAAGGAGGAGAAAGGCAGAGTTGTATTAGTCGTATTAAGGGCATCGGCTGAGACGCCGATCCTATGCCGATTTGAAATGTTGCCCGTTATCCATGGCGATTCTGGACAAGAGCTGTCCAACGCGGGCATTAGAAGCGGCAAGCTGTTCTCAGGGCCACCAAGAGTGAGGCTCCAGAGCAAGGGACGGCCGCTCCAGAGGAGAGCACGGGATGCCCAAGCGGCCGTAGACACCCCGATTGTAGCTGCTGGAAATGAATCCCCTCTTTTCCCCACCCCAGAGGGAGATGTGATTCCTGCCCCGCAAGACCTGACGGTGAAGGAGATCGATTTGTCGCTGTCTCCGGAGGGTCCCGCTGGGGAGGACGGGTCCGAAGAGGCTGGCCCTTGGGACTCGGAAGGGAGCAGCCCGCCCGTGCCAGCCCGGGGCCGGGACCACCGCCGCTACTTCCAGGAGCACTGGCGGGTGGAGTACCTCATGGACTACAACGGGCTGCGTCACGGGCTGGTGTGCATGGTGTGCGGCAGCTCCCTGGCCACGCTCAAGATGAGCACCATCAAGCGGCACATCCAGCAGAAGCACCCGGACTCCACGCAGCTGAGCCACCACGTCAAGGCGCTCATCGTGCAGGAGTGGAACCAGAAGGTCTCCCGCCTGGCCGACGCGGACGGCGCCCTGCCCGAAACGGACGCGGAAGCGGGTGCCGGTAGGTGGGGCGCCTGGGCAGCTGGGCCTGGCCGAAAAGGGCAGGAGCAGCGGCCCGGAGATGGGGGGGCAGCCCAGGGCTACCCAGAAATGTTGGACTGCCACTGCCATCGGCCCCAGCCAGCAGTGGATGGGGTTGATGGGAAATGGTGGCCACAACATGTGGATGATGTCAGATTGCCCACCCCTGGAGTAAGCAGACCTGGTGAATCGGGAAAAAATGTATTATAATACTTAGCATTATATTGCTATCCTGCTTTTCCCCCTCTTATGAGGAACCCAGAGCAGCCGACATGGTGCCATTTTATCTCCACCACAACCCTGTGAGGTAGGTTAGACTAAGAGGGAGCGACTGGCCCAAACTCCCTCACGGGGAGCTTCGTAACCGAGTGGGGACTGCAGCCCCAGTCTCCCAGGCCCATCCTACGTGTTGTGAGGGTGTGCAAGGACAGGCTGGACATGCCCACGGTAGGCATGTCATGAGCGGAGCCGGCTGGAGCTCAGGGTCAGACTAGATGGCCTGGGAGGCCCCTTCTGACTCGCTCTGTTTCTGTGTCTCAGCTGGGTCCCTCAATACCCGATTTCTCGAAGCTGCCTATAGCCCCGTTTTTTGGCTTTCTCCAGGGCAGCCACAGCACCCCCGTAAGTCGCCCTCCTTCCCCGAGGAAACGCAAGAGCACACGGGGACGGCTGCGGGGGACGAGGAGGAGGAGGAGGAGGAGGAGATGCCCGCAGCCGGGAGGCTGGCTCCTTCGCAGCCGTCTCCGGAGGCCGCCTCTCCCGTGGCCAGCACCCCGTCCCGGCGGGGCCAGCGGCGGAACTACCAGCCGCGCTGGCGGCAGGAGTACCTGATGGACTACGACGAGCAGCGGCACGGGCTGATCTGCATGGTGTGCGGCGGGACGCTGGCCACGCTGAAGGTCAGCACCATCAAGCGGCACATCCTGCAGGTGCACCGCTTCTCGCTGGAGTACACGGAGCTGGAGAAACAGACAATCCTCGACGCCTACTCCGAGAACGACCAGCCACAGAACCCCAAGCCGCCCAGCCTGAAAGGGGCGGCCGGCCCTGGCCCGGCCCCGGAGCCCCGCGACGTCAAGCCGAACATCCAGGGGGCTGGGGAGATGGCGCTAGCCTACCAGTTGCCTGTCTGTACGGCGTAGTCGCGGTTCCGGGCTGCCCGGTGGGGTAGACTTCGACGAACGACAGCCGGGCTGGTTTGTTTTCTCGCCACTCCCCTCCGGGCACCGTGGAAACTCTTGGGATTCCCCATTTGCAGGCCTCTGTGACTGGAACAAATGAGGCCGAGTCCGGGAGAATTGTGTTTGTTTTCCATTGCATCCAGTTTAATTTGCATGGCCTGTTCTGGCGGCAAAGGGCTCGAAGGAAGGCATGCCTCCTCCCCACACGCCGTGCCGGCAAATCCATCACTCTCGCACTGGAAGATGTGACTGGAGTGAGGGGGGTGTGGGGGTTTGGTGTACGTTACGGCGGGATGAAGGCAGAGAAGGGCAAGGCGGGGGGCAGTCCTTGACAGCACGGATGATACACTGCGCTGGCCTCCGGTTTGGAAGCGTGCCCGGACAAGGCGCCCTCCGTGGCCCCCTCCCTCCGGAGGCCACCTTCCGGCTGCCACTGCCCCCAGCGGCTCCGACACCTCCGCCTCTTCCTCGCCATGGAAGAGGAAGGTTTGCAAGGGAGCAAGGAGACCACGGCCTCTCTCGCACCGTTTCACCGCCGCCATTGCCTGGGCACGTGAGCCGGTGGGTTGCAGTGGGGAAAGGAGGCTCCTGCCACAGGGCCCCTGCAGGACTGTGGACCCTTGGCAGGTGCCCGTTCATGCTGGCCCTTGGCCCGGAGCTTGCTGCTTCTCTACCTTGACCAGCAGCGAGCACCCGGCCAGGTCGCTCTGTGTTCAGGCCCTTAACGGCGGCCTTCAGCACTTTTGCTTTGGGGGCACGCCCGTGGGTTCATCAAGGTGGGGTCATGTGCCCCCCCCCCCCCAGCAGGCTGCTGTACCCAGGGAACAGCCCTCCAGCAGTGATTTGAGACCCTCACCAGAAAGCCAGCCCTGCAACGGATGCCTCCAGAAGGGTTGGACTACACTTCCCCACCTCCAGAGGGGTGCAGTCCGATCACAGTGGAGCGGCTCGGCTCAGCTCGGCTTCCGGCAATGGGACGAGAACTGCCCTGTCGCGGTCCTGGTGCCCGTGCTGGAAACTGAGGCAGGGTGAGCACTGGAGGGGGACGGCTTCAGCGGAGACAACCCATTTTCTAAGTCATGGGTGATGGGGAGAACCAGCGTCATTCTCGATGGGGCTGGACTGTAACACTCGCCAGTGCCAGGGCAGGGGAGGGGTGATGGGGGGCCATCGCCCAGCAGCTTCTGGGGGGCCACAGCTTCCCCAGCCGGCTATTCAAGCAGCGCCCGGTGCGATAGGAGGACTGTGCCAACGGCTGTCCTCTTTAAGTGCCTCTCCATAGCTGCCTCCCCGGATGGGTGTCCGCCTGAGGGAGAGATCTGGAGTGTGGACGAATGAAGGCACGTCTTTCCTTCACCCCACCAAAGCCTGGGCTCCCCGGGCTGCTTTCGGACACTTGGCCACTTGTACGCGCTCAGCACGAATCGTTCTGGCATGATCTTAAGGTGTTTCAGGGGAGACGCGTGAGGTTTTGCTCGATGTTTCCCGACCCACTTGCACTTAAAGGCCGGTGTGTCCTGCCAGCCCCCCAGCTTCCGTGGCTCAGGGGTTGTAGGACTGTGGTGCATCCAGTTACCGGGTGCATGTGCATCCGTGCCTGTTAAAGTACTTTGCTTGTGGAGAAAAAGGTCTTGCTCCTACAGCATAACACCGCTCCTGCAAGGTAGGAAAATAGGCCGAGCCTTTCCTTGTGGCTTTTTTCACACACAGCCCGAGTTCTTCCCAGTTCCTTCCTCTGCAGCCCCGAAGGGAAGAGCCAGTGCGATGTTGGACTGGGCCTTGGGAGATCCGGCTCCAGTCCTTATTCAGACATGAAGCTCACCAGCTGATTTTGGGCCGGTCACAGACTCTCAGCCTAGTCTACCTCACAGGGTTGTTGCAAGAATAAACCGGAGCGGATGAGGATGCACGCTGCCTTGGCTTCCTTGCGGGAAAAAAGGGACGTAAATCAACAGGGGAAGCAGTCGGAAAAGCAGTCCAAAAGAAGCTCATCCTCAGGAGCCGCTCAAAGTAACCTTTGGTGGCCCGTTGTGAATTCTGCTGCTCTGTAAGCCTTGAATTCCAGCACTTCTCTTCCACCTCCTGCCCTCCAAATCTCTTCAGTTTAACGACACGGGGAACGGCGTCTGCTCTGCTGGTTCAACAGGGCTCATTGGTGCCCGTGCAGAGGGCAACCAGCCCCTTGTGATGCTGACACCCTTTCGCATGCTCGGTCCAAGGAACAGGTTCATGGATGGTTTCAAACAGGCGAGGAGGATGCCAAAAGCCATTTCAGGGCCAGGGGCTGGCTTCCTCCTTCGCGCAAAGACGCAACACCACTGGGACACCAGCCAGTAGGAGAATTTCAAGACCCCCCCCATCTATATATTTGATATCAACGATTATGTAAACTTTGGCTTTTCCCAAAATAGCTGCTGCTTTTTTGTATTCAAGATAAACAGAACAAAGAACGGGGGTGTTGGGGGTGGCGATGATAGAAACGGTGGGTTAAGAAAGGAAGAAATGCCATCCTTTGGACACTTTCAGCCCGTTACTGCCCCCAGGGGAAGGGAAGGTAGTATGTTCAGTGGTTAGAGCACTTCAAGCAGAAAAGCCCAGGTTCCAGCATAATGGGGGACAGCATTGCTGGAGAGATTCTGGCAGTTGGGACAGACAATTCCTGGCAGCCCGAAGGCCCAGTTCGGGGCCAACGTCACACACTGGCCTTAATGCCGTACGGGCGGGGAGTTGGATGGAGTCCAGATCTTCGAAACAAAGGAGGCCGTCTCTTTGAACGAGGCTCGCCTCCAGCAATTCATCCAAGAGAACTATGACAAATAAATTGCACTTATCCGGGCACTGGTCCTCATGGGAAATCCATTCCGTGTAAAGTTCATCTCCCGCCCCACACCTCCTCCTCCTCCCACTCAAAGCAGTCAGATTTTGCACACCTGCTTTCCTCTCACCCCATCTTCCTAAATCAATAGTTTGGTCTTTAAAAAAAAAAAAAAAGTCGGTAGCTACTCTTGTAAAACGTGAACTCTGAGGTATACTTAACAAAACCCATCATGACCTTGTGGCTGTGCTGAAACATTGTGTCTTGTGAAAAGGTGTTTTGCATCCATACGAGGTGTGTGTTTTATATTAATATTATATTATATATAAATATATATAAGCACTAAGTTTTGTAAAACAGGTTATGGCAAAATAAATCCTTTAAAATGCTATTTTAAAATGCAACCCGAGAGCCCAGCCTTTTCTTTTCAAACTCGGCCATTGCAGGATCCCGTGGGATCATGGATGGCAAGGTCAGTCCAGCATGGAGCCGCTTTCCTTTCCGTTGGGAAAGGGACCAAACCTGCAACGAGCGCTGCCACAAGGCTCCAGCACGACCCCAGTGGGAATGGTGCATACGGTCCCCGGTCGCCACACCCCAAGGATGTTGCAGTGCCCGAAAAGATGCAGAAAAGGGCAACCCTGGCGCCGGATCAACAAGGAGAAGTGTGACATTTAAGGCACCTGAAAAGGCAAGTGGAGGTGACCATGCCCGAGATGCGCGGGGGGAAACTCGTGCCAAAACCCGGAATACTCCAGTGCTGCTGCCTCGTGGGGAACCCAGGAGAGGGGAAGGAGCTTCACCCAGCCATTGCAACAATCCGATGGCGACAACCCCACCTCCTCCCAGTAAGTGGATCTTGCAATCGCAGCTCCTTCCTCCTTTCAAACCACTGGATGTGGAGAGCGCGAGAGAGAGACCGGCGCGTATGTAGTATACAGAGGTGCTCTGTTGTGGCGGTGCCCCAAGTGAGGTGGACTGTGCTGAAGGGAGGTGGTTTGGGGAGCCTACCAAAAACGCAGGAAAACCAAGTTGTGGAGTTTGTACTTTGTGCTCTTTTATTAATGATACCACATCAAATTGCATTCATTCATTCCTCGTTTTAAGTCCCAACAGGGTCTCTTCAGTTCCTTTGGCGCTACCGTACTTCGAATGCTCGCACGCATGGTACACACACACGCACACCAACGAAAGAGCTCCATTAGTAGTTTTTGTGGGTTTTCTTGCTCTACATACATTTTCTCTCTATTTTTTAAAAAGCCTTTTGGGCACAAAGAGGCCGGTTCACGGTATTCAAACACAGCAGTAACAGAACGGATGCAAGAGCTGAGCCAAAGGCTTCCAGTGCGGAGGAGGGGTCCCTGGAATGGGGTGGAGGAAAGGGTGGGTGGACGTGGAAGAGGGACCGGGACAACCCAGTGCGGCTACCTCTCTGGTGTGGGCGAGTGGCACAGCAGAAGCACAGGCAGACGTTCGCGGGCCGTTCGCTACCGCCTGCTTCTCTAACACCACGTTACAGACACACCCGTGTTCGAGTGAGTGACCACGGCCCGACAAAGCACCTGAAGCTTAATACGAGCCTCCCCACTGGACTAGAAACGTTTCTCGCTTCGAAGAACCGCATGGCCCCGCGACCGTGGGTGCCGGCCGCTCCCGAGGAGAGCCTCACTCCAAGCAGGGCTCTAAGGGGGAAAGGGAACCGGGAAGCCGACAGGTTTGCATTTGCGTGAGCGTAAGATTTCTGCCTGACACTCTGTTCGAAGTTTTTGCCTTCTCTGCACCAGCCACCCAGCTGTCAAGTCACAACAGCAAAATCAGCCAGTGAAGCAGCGGCTGACGAGTGAAATGGGGAGAAGGCCGAGGCTGTGAAGGAGAGGCGCTCTTCCTTGGACCCTGGAAAACTTGCCCACTTCCCTGCTTTAACTGGCTCCCACTCTGAGACCTAGGCAGCCTAGAAGACTGGCCTGTTCCACTTGAGCTGCCCACTGGACGCTGCTCCCCTTTGCTCGGACTCGACAGGAGGGGGACTCCCCCGACTCAAGTGGAATCCCCCATCAATTCTCCAGTTCTACCCAGCCCCTCTTTCATTGGGGGGGAAAAACTCTGAGAAACTGGCAATGGCTCCCGACGTGCACGTCCAACACGGCCCAGCCACGTCTGTGCAGGGAACGACACACCTGCCAGTGAGGAACCATCACCAAGGCATGAAAAACTGGCTTAAAAAGAGCTTTAGGACACAAATAGTTTTAAAAGCAGTGATTTTTCTTCGATACAACCCTCCACTCCCAAGCATCTTTCTAAAAACTGTAAACACGTACTACAGTGACTCCGACTAGAGCAATTGCAACCGCTGCCTTGAAACTGCGGCTCCCTAGCTACTACAAGGCGGGTGAGACTCGGGGCAGACTAAAACCAGGGTCGGGGCAAGTGTGTTCGTGCTCTGCGCATCCTACCCCCGCCCGCCGAGGAACAAGACTGGGGAAGGGAGAGAGTTGCATGCAGACGTCCGTTTTTACAGCAATGCGTACAGCAGTTACAGACACGGTCATTTCTGAAGAAGAAAAACTCAGTGTCGCTTTACGGACCTCAAGGGGAGGGAGGGAAGGAGAAAGGAAGGAGAGAGATGGGCCAGACCCGAAAGCAGAACTGATGTCATTCAGGGAGACGGGGCGCGAGGATCCCCCCTTTCCATCAGTGGGGGGTACCCTGGTGGGGAGGGAAACGGCTGGCCAGTGTTTTGTGGCCCTTCCCTAAGCTTGTCTGAGTCAGGCCAGGTGTTCCGCAGCAGGAAGACAAGCCTGGTGAGACAGACGGCCCCGGCCTGAATGGAACCATCACCACCACTCTGCAATGGGGCGCAGGAGAACGAGGAGCAGACAGACAGACAGACCGACCGACCGACCGACCGACAGTCTGCGCCTCGCCGCTGTTCCAGCCCGGCTGCCTTGGAAACTCACAACATGGTCCCTTGAGCAGAAAGCACGTTTCGAACCAGAGAAGGGCACCTGCCTCGGATGCATCACGACACATTCCAGCTAAGAAGCTACCCCGGTGGTCTGGAGAGACGGAAGCCAGCCCCCCACCCCACTTCTACGCTTCTGACACTAGTTCACGTTTAGTCCTGTGCAGTCCAAAGTCCAGTGTTTGGGCTGAAGGAGGGGGGAATAAAAATAAAGTAATAAAAAAAATCAGAAGAAGCTTGGAATGCAGACATCAAGCTTGACTTTGCGTGTTCCTTCATGGGTACAAGTAACATTGGTTATAACTATGACACAAGGGGTATGGTTTTTGTTTCGCTTCGATTTAGTGAACAGCTGGGCCCAAGCTCCCTGCAAGGTTATTCCGGCTTTTTCTTCACAACTCCGGGAACTTTTGCTTGGATCCTGTGGAAGGAAGAGCGAGGAGAGGGGAGTAAGTACCAAGCTTGGGGGCACACCACGTTGCCCTTTGCTGGGCCTGGCTGCCCCGAGAGGCAAGAGTGGCTGAACACGCTCGAAATGGGCATCCAGGAGGGGCCTGGAATGGGAAAAGGCCGGCAAAACCTGCCCGTGGCCTTCCTTCTGTGCAATTCTACTTCGGACTTCAGGGAAAGGGCCTGACTTCTGGGCACGTTTTCGATGCACTCGGCTGGGTGTGTGCAAGGAAAGACACTGGGCGAAAAATGCAGGCTCTGGCAGGGCAACAAGACTGGAAGCCAGGAGACCCGGAAGAGCTCTCGGAGAGGGCCAGGAGCGGCTCCATGAGGACGAGAAGCATTTTTGCTTTGAGGTGAGAATTCTCTGCCTGGCCATGGCTTGGAGGAAGGGTCAAATGACGCTCCTGCGACCTGCTTATGCTGGCCTCATCCAGTGAACTCAACACCAACGCAGAGCGGCAGTCCTGGATGCTGCTACTGCTCTTCCTGGCTTCAAAGCAGGGGGAGTTGAAGACTGCGCATCAGGATGCGGCCGGGACAGGCAACACCCGCTGACTTTTGGGACAATGCCCAGCGGAGCTTCAAGGTTTGGGGGGGAGGCCAATTGCTTGCCGGGGTTGCCCACGGACTGCCGAGCGCGAAAGGGAGACTCACTTTGTGACGACCGACTTGACCTGACTCCGAGCGATCCCAATGTAATGGTCGATCTGAGTCTGGGAAGGAAACAGACAGGGGTAGGAGGGGTGCGGAGGGGGCGCACCAGCAAAGCGATGCCGGGAGACCACGCGTGTGCCTGCGGGGATGTGCAGCTTCTGCCCCCGCGGCTTTCTCCGGGTGCCTTTCACCCTCCCTGCAGCCCTAGGAAGATGGGAGACGTGCAGAAGGACACGGAGCGGGAGGCGGCTCAGCTCACGCCCTGCGAATCGGCACGGCCGGCCCATGCGATTCTAGTGCTCCGGGGCCGCGGGAAAGCACCCTGGCGCTAACGCAGGACTGAGGCTCACGGGCAGAAGCGGCCCACGCGCCCTGGGGAGCCGCTAAGCGTTTCCCAGGCTTACGGTCACGTTTACCCACCTTGTATTTCTCGTAAACCACCGGGACGCTGAAAACCAGCAGCTCCCCTGAAAGGACACAAGACAAGACAAGGCAGGTCAGAGGGCCGCGACACGGCCAGGCTAGATCACGCCGCCGGAGGGCCGAGCAGGACAGGAGCAGTGTTCTGCCGGTCGCACAGTTCGGGGGCAGCCCAGAAGGCTTTGCTGAGCCCGCCATCTTGCCCGAGCCACCGTGCGCCCGGGGCCTTCACAAGAGCCCCCGAGGAGGGTCCACGGCAGCCCCCTGCCACAAGATGGGCCACAAGCTGTAGCGGTTTCGGAAGCTGAAAGTTCTCCCGGTGGCTGTTGGCCACGCGAGTTAAACGGGAGACTCTGGCCGTCGCTTCCAAAAGCCCAGAAGCAGGGCAGGTCTGGCCGGCCACGGCACGAGGGGGAGCGGTGGGTGGAATGGGTCTTATCTGACCGGTGGTGCTCCGGCCTTTGCCGCATCTTACCCAGGATGAGGAGGGTGATCCCGTTGAAGATGGCCCCGACGTAGGTCATCAGCCACATGACGACTGCCAGCTGCCAGAAGAACGGGGGTACAAGAATTAGTGAGATGCCCGAGGGGAGCTGCTTGGCCCCCCGGCCACCCTGCAGCACAGATGCCGACGGTCCTTCGAGCCTCCAACGCCGAGGAGCAACACCCTTCTGGAGGCCAAGCTCGCCCTCAAAGACACAGGGATCTGCAGCCTGGGCAGCAGGAAAAAGGCAGCCGCCGAAGCTGCCCCTGCTGGGCAAGGGCTGCCATCCTGGGGCCACACAAGAGACGCATGTGAGCCCGGCACGCGTTTCCGCTGGGCTTGCTCCGCTCCCCCTGCCAGGCTTTTGGCCAAGACCGAGCTCCTCAAGAGCAGGGCCTGAAATAAATTTTGTTTCGCGCTCTTACTGCCAGTGAGCAAGCCTTAGGAAGGGCATTTGGCCTTTCTCGGATGGAGAAAAATGGCACAAAAGCTGGGAAGCCAGCCAACCGTCCCTGAAAGGGGGGGAAAAACAGCGGAAGAGCGCATGGCCGGGGAGGGTGCCCTGGAGGCTGCAGGGTGTGCGCTGGAGGGCTGGATTCAGCTGGCAGGCCTCTGGCTCGGCACCCCTGGGGCAGCTCTTTGGAGCAGGGGGCATCTGTCGCTCCAGACGGTGCCAGGCAGCGTTGCAGGAATCAGTATGGTCTTGCTAGAGGTGGCCGAGAGGAACAGGCATGAACTCTCAAGACTCCTGACTGACGGAGACGTGCCGGGCTTTTCAGCAACCGCACCGATGCGGAGAAGTCTAGCAGAATGGACTCTCCTCCTGGAACGGGTGCCTCTCCTTGTCCAAGGAGGTGTTTTTTAAGATCAATAAGCACAAAAGCCTTCAAGGCAAGGGCATATCCTAGGACCCTGCATCCCTCTGACCAAAAGGTGGCTGCCTTGCGTTTCATTTTGCACGGTCCCGGCCAATTTGCCCTCGGGGTCACCACCAAGGGCTCCACCACCAACAGCCCGAGAGCCAGAGTGGAGCTCCCTGGGCCACCCCAGGAGGGCCCCCTTCCCCTGGCGAGGCCGCAGACTGAGCAGAGACCCATCCGGCCCTGACCTTCAGTGAATCCACCAAGTCTTCCACCAAGAAGAGGCGCATGATGAGCTTCAGAGCGTGATTGACATGCACCATAGCAGAGTTGACGTATTTGTGAAAAGTCTCAGAGGAGAGGGCGACGTCTGCATCCAGGTAGGCTCTGGAAAGAGGGGGGAAAGGGAGTTATGGTCTAGGCAAAGGCAAGAAACCGGCCAGCCCCGAGCATGCAGGGGTGAACTTGTTGCCTTGTCTGCCATCCCCGTTATGCAACAGGGAGGGGAACATTTTCCAGGTGCCCTGTTGATACGGAGCCTTCCGGGGGCTGAATGCCAGCACTGGCCATGGCCGAAACTGCTCCCATTCCTCAGTGGCAGGAGGCAGAGCAGCTAAAGAGGATGGAAAGAAAGCAGTGGGCAGCTAACCGGACAAAACCAAGGCATGTGGGGGAGGCTGCTGGGGCAAGCGAGAGGGCTGGCTAGCCAAAAGGGTTGGTGAAGTGGGGGCTGCTAAGCAAGAGGGGCCGAACTTCAAGGAACGGGGGCACCTGCCGACACTTGGAAGGCCGTGAGTTCAATCCCCACTGTCTCCAGTCCAAGGGAGCTCTGGCCCCAGGTGCTCCGCTCACCCCCGCAGCCACCAGCTGCCCATGTTGCAGAGGAGCAGGCACCCTGGCCTGAGGCCGCCCCCGGAGGAGCGGAGCAGGCCACCTGCCCTCGGCGCCCACTCACTTGAATGGGTGTCCCTCATCGGACTTCTGTACGGCCTGGATGACTGACTTGTAGACCCGGAAGCTGATGGTGACCGAGAGGAGCGCGAGGATGAGGTACGAGGCGACGCTGATGACGCTGAAAGCGGCCAGGGAGAGCAGCAAGATCAGGGTCGTGCTGAAGACGAGGCCCGTCTTCTTCACATCCCGCCAGAAGATCAGGTCGTGCACTGCCGGGGAGAGGGAAACAACGAGAGGCACGCGCGGTCAGTGGTGGTCCGGCCAGGGGGGCACCTCACTGCAGACGGCCTACTCAGCCCCACGGCGAACAGCCTTCAGCCAAGCTGCACGCCGCAGGGCCCGGCCTGAGCACTCCGATCAGCCCCCAACGGGCTCACTCTTTCAAAACCGCCCCGTCTACTTAGATTTACTGGGATTTTTTTAAAAAAAGTGCTTCGATTCCGCAGCTGCCTTAGGAATCGTTTCCAAAAGGCAGAAGAAGAGTACAAGCAAATGTTTCCAGAAATATTGCCAGACTGTTTTAAAGAGAGCTCGGAAGAGCCAAAGCTCTGAGCAGCCACAGGCCACCTCCTGATGCGCGGGAGGGCCCTGTGGGACGGCCTGCGCACGTCCGGTGCTCCCACAGGGCTCGGGCCTGGTGTCGTTCCCTGAAACTGAACGGGTGGAAATTCGAGGCAGTTCCTCAAGGAAGAACTTCACACAGCACGTGGTTGCGTTACAGGTCAGGCGTCGGCATGGAGCAAAGCACTTCCCATGGCTACCAGTCCAGATAGCCATATGCCACCCCCTGCATCAAAGGCAGCACCCCGACTGCTGTGGATCGTGGGTGAGAAAATCCTCCTGCAGACAGGCGGCTGTGCTAAACAGCCCCTTGGTCTGAAGCGGCAAGGCTATCTCAGGTTCTTTCTTGAAAGCAAGTCCCGTGGAATTCAGTGGGGCTTGCGACTATCTTCTATCCCTGCCTTAAAGCTGAGAAATATTTCGATATTGCTTCTTTTTCAGGGTAACACTGACTTTCGGGGTGAGGCGACTTTCTCAAAACTCCCGGATATGATTAAGAATCATTTTGTTTATTCCAGTGCTGATGGTCTGGTGGTCCAAGCTCACTTTTTCTCCTGTTTTTCAAAAATTCAAAGACCAAATTCCAAAGAAGTGCTCACGCAGCAGCTTAAGCTTCAGCAGTCTGCTATGCCATCTTTGGCTCTGCTTGTGTTGTTTCGAGAAAGCTGAGGGATGCGTATATTTACAGCATTTTGCATGGCAATTAAGATACAGCGCCTCTTATGTTCTTATAGAAGTAAATGCAGTTTAGAATTGATAAAAGGAAATACGCAGTTCTGCCTTGTGGCTTCACAATGCAGACACGCAAAGAACCCCAGACCAAACCTGCATGCTGGTCCCAGCCGTGTGTCTGGGAACCCGGCTTCCCCGCATCGCCTGGCTCACAGCACAGTTGCTCCTGCCCGAGTCAGGGAGGGCAAAAGGAGCACTGGATCCCTGGGTGACGCGAGGCGCAAACCGCTGGTCAGGTGGCCCCTGGATCGCCACAACATGCCCATCACTGCCCCGCAGCCGGTGAGATGTTAGGGATGTTCCTCATGCCAACATGGCTGCCTTCGCCTGGCCTGTCTTGCCACCCTTGCAGCCTTCCACTGGCTGAGATGGCAGTCCAAACACCCTGTTGGGAAAAGATTCTCAGCCCCTTCCGTTCAGTAAGGATTCTGGCTGAGAAAGCCGCACACCTGCAGGGGGAATGCATGAGCACGCTGGCTTTCCCCACGTGCTCCCGCTTGCCAGGCAGCTCCAGGCTGCTCCACTAGCCAGCCCCCTGGATCAAGAGAGCCCTCTTGCCCCAGCCCGGGGAGGACGAGCCCAGCATCGGGATCAGCTGCCTGCAGCAATGGCAGCTTATCCTTCCAGCAGCACAGGAGGGAGGCCGCGGCAGAAGGGCTGGGAGAAGCGAAGCGAAGCTGGGCTGCCGGCCAGTGTCCTTCCTGCTAGGCTGGCTGCGGGCCAAGCTGCAGAGCTCCAGACAAGAGGGACGGAATCGCCCGGGGCTGTCCCACCGGCTTGGCCGCTCCTGGGCACCACGTCCTGGGGCTCGGCTCCATGCATATCCTTGCAGCGGCCGGAGCCTGGGTGGATTTATGCTTTTGAGCAGTGAACCTGTGCTGGGTTTAGTTCGGTTCCCTAAGGGAGGTTTTGCACGGAGGTCACAGGCTGGTTGAAAGGGAAAAAGGAGCTGGTTAAGAAGTGAGCCCTGTATTTTCCCCCTTTTTTAGGGGCTTGGGGAGAAGGTGAAAGGAAGCATGGCTTGCATGCCTCCCAGGAAAAGCTTTCTCCGCAGCAGCTTGGCCACGTCCCCTCCCCTCCCCTGTGCGTGAGCTGCCAGAACAGCAGGGGTGGGAGGCTGCAGGCCAGGAAGAGCACCAAGGCAAGGGCGAAGGGGAAGCAGAATGAAACAAAAACCAAAATGCTGTGCAGAAAGAATCGGCGCAGTCGGTTTCAGCAGCCTCCTTTGCAAACGCACCAGAGGGGGATGCACTGGGGAGGCTGAACGAGCCCCCAACACCTGATGAGGCAGGGGAAGGAAAGGAGGGAGCTGGTGACTTCCCAACAGGCATTCGGCTCCATTTCGTTGCTCTCTCAGCTTGGGCCTGCCTAGCTCGCTGCTGGAGCATCTCCAACTGGTTGCCCGACTCACTAGTGCATTCGGCATGCATTTTTCATGAGCTTGTGGTGATGCCTGACCTGGAGCACGTAGCGCGGCCTCCTTGGCATCCTTCCATTCGAATTTAAAAAACCCACTTGCTAGTCCTCATGACTGTGAAGCAAACCTTTAGCTGGGCAGGGCCGGGGCCCCTCAGCGTGCCCTTCACTCCACCATTTCTGCACCGGTGGACTATAATCGTGCAGGAAGGCTGGCTCAATGTTCAGGAATGGAAGCTAGTGACGGGAAAACCAGTTGCTGGACAGCTGCGGTTTTGCACAAAATACCCATCTGGACTCAGAAAAGGTGGCACTGAGCAGGGGGAGAAGGACGGACAGACAGACAAAGATATGCAGAGGGAGGATACTTAAGCGGTGGATGAAGGGCGCCCGGGGCTGCAGGGCTTCCCCCTCAGGCATGCAACGGGTCACCCTCTTGGCCTCAGCTTCAGTGCTGCTGCTCTTTTGCAGAAAAGCACTATATTTATTTGAAATTTTTATATGCTGTCTCAATAATAAAAGTCTCTGGATGGCTTACAAAAAACAGGAAAACCAAAAACAAAGCAAGCTGAACAACAGCAACGGACAGCACACCGCAAAGGCTGAAATGCCTTCCTCAGGCTGAGCTCCCAGCAGCCAGAGCTTTGAGCTACAACATGCTCTTAGGCTTGGTATTTTGGCCCAGCCTCCGAGGCCCAAGCTCTGTTGCCGCTGGAATGCAGCCCCCCAAGATCTGCCCTCGGGCTGAGAGGTTCACACCCCAAGTACGGTGCCAGCCCCAGGACTACTCACGCCGTGGGGCACATGAATACCAGCCAAACATGAAACGGGCAGGGGCCAAGCAGGCGGGCCCACTTCATGCAGCACTGGTCCTCCGAGACTGTGGCCAGGGATGCATCTCTCCCGGCCCTGGAGGTCAAGAACCTGAGATACGAGGACGGCGGCGTGCCCCCCGCAAAGCGACAGATCCTCATGTCTGAACCTGGGACTTTGCACATGCGTGTCACGTGGCCCAGGCCCAGGCCCAAGCTCCTCCTGGAACCCAAGCACCCCCGAGAAGCACAGAAGAGGCATTTAAAGCCCAGCACAAGCCACGCTCTGTTCAGATACGGGAGCGCCGCTCCCTCTTGACGGGCGACAGGGCAGCTCGCCAAAGATAAAAGTTTATAAAAAACCACTCTTCGATCGGCTTGCTCCTTGACCCATGGAGGGAAAACAGAATGGGCTTGCCTCGCGTTAGCCCTCCCACCCCCCGCTCTCGCTGGCAGTGTGGCATTCACACAAGAGAAACACCCCCCCCCCCCCCCCCAGGTCATTTCTGCCCCTGGCTAGCGGAACAGAGCGACAGCCAAGAAACCCTCGGCTGTGTTTGTCTAGAATCAGCCCATAAACCCGCCGAACAAAGGCAAACGCAGCTGCCTCCCAGGGCGTGTGTGGGACAAATGCAAAACATACTCAGGGCCGTGATGGGTCTGGACTGGGCGCTCCACTGCTGCCTTCCTCCTCGAAAGGAAGCAGCCTGCAATGTCACCTTTCCAAACAAGGGGAGACGCGCAGCGGCCACTTCTGCAAAGCCTCTGGCACCATTCTCTCATCCCTAGACCTCGCTGGAGCGGAGCCCAGTCATGCGCAAGGCAGAATGGGCCTCTGCCCCCCTCTCCCGCTGCTGCCTTGCTTGTGCAGCGTTTTCGACTGCAGCCTCCCCGGGGCAGAGTCCTGCCTTCTCACAATGATTCTTGGGTGCTGTTCCCACTGAGAGAGGATCAGCAGCAGCTGCCTTGTGGCCGGGTGAGCAGCGATCGGAGACTCAGGTTGGTTGCCAAGACCTAGTTGTCCCTGAGGCAGGTGAGCCGGAGCTGGAGCCTAGCCTAGCCCACTCCAGACTCATGGGAATGAAAGTTCCTCCCTTTAAACAAAATGGAAAGCCAACCCCCCCTCTCCAGTCCCGGCCAGACACACAGAGAACTCTACCAGGGAGAAGGTTGGAAGGCCTCATGCTGAAATGCGACCTTTCTGCAGGGACTTTTCCTCCATATGGCATATGAATCTCCCCCCCCCCCCCCGCAGTCTGAAGGGGCACAGGCAGAGGGATTGTCTCAATGAAAATCTAAGCCCACAGCCCAGTGGAAGAAGGGTCATGCGCCCATCAGCAACAGCTGAGACCTAGCAGGGAAGCGAGGAGGCAAGCTGACAGAGGCAAACATACCCTAGTCCAGGGCCTGCTCTGTGGGTTCTCAGCGCCTCTCCCACGCCGAGGGGAACCCCAGCCCCATACTCCCCTGCCCCACCACATTCCTCCCAGCTCGGCTCTGAACCTCTTCATCTGGGTTCTCTCCAGACTGGCGGAGGAAGAGAACGGGCGTGGCGCGGCTGCGTCCTACCTCCCTCCTCCCATAGTGAAGTTCAAAGTGCTACATTTGGTTCAGGCAGCCATGCAAGAGCAGGACTCCTGCAGAGAGACCCCCAGCATTTCACCGCAGAGCAAGGCTCTGCATGGCTCCTCGGAAGAGAGCTCTTCAGGTCGCAATGCATTACGCCAGAATTCTATGTGCGGCGAGCCAAACCCTGTGGGAGCTCATCTGCTTCTGAGTCATTAAGATAAACGTTCAAATGAAGATTCCCACTTACAAAGAAGGCATGGAGTTTTAAAATGCTGGCAGGTGTGCATGACCCACGCATGACCCACGCCATCCTTCCTCAACCCGGTGCCTTCCAGGTGTGTTGGGACTTTAACTCCCAGCATGCCCCAGGGCAACCGCTCAACAGGAATGCTGGCAAAGGCTGAAGCTTCAATGTCTTGACATATCGCAAGGACGAACAAAGCACCCATTCAGGGTTTAAGCCTGTGCCTTCTTCCCCGAGGTCCAGTGCAGGTCCCCAAACATCCCCTGCCCAAGTAAGCCACAGCTCAGCTCCTGAGGTTCTCTCCTTCGCGGAGCAGCTTAATTCCACACAGCCAGAGTTCTACAACAATCCCTTACAAAGTCCAAGCCTGCCTTCGCCCAAGCCAGTTTTTGCGGGGTGAACCAGGCCTATGACTCAAGGTGATCAAAGTTCTTGTTCCTGGCAGGGCAAACTGGATGAGAGAGCTTTCTTTGCATGAGAAAGTGCAGAAGGGAAGGATTTCGACACACGCAAGGGGAGAAAACCAAGGCAACCGGGAAGAGCTGCCTGTTCTGAGGGTGTTGCGGGATCGCCCATTGCCTTTGGGGTGAAAGTTAATCTCTTGCTGGCTTAGAACACTGCCCAGAGCTATGCTTATAGGAAGGCAGTTTATACCAAGTCGGATGACTGATTCATCTACTCCAGAACTGTCTTCACTGATTGACTGCACCTTCCCAAGGCCGCAGCGATGGCTCCTCCCAAAGCTTTTAACTGAGACCTGAACCCGGGAGCTTCCACATGGAAGCTGCGCACTTTAACACAGAGTGATCCCCCCTCCTCATTCTCGTGTGTGGGCGTGTTTTGCTTGGAATTATTTCTGGATTGCCTAAAGCAACTACTGGCTGCACTGCAACTCCCTGGGTTAAGGCGCAACACACCTGCGCCCATGAAGTTGTGAGGCTAAGTTCTTAATTTCCCCGGAAAAGGAACTGAGGTCTCCAAGCATGGAAAACTTGAGTACGGGGCAGGAACTGGATCAGGGGGTCCTGGTTCAAATGCCCACAAAGCTTCGTGCTTCGCTATGGGCCAGGTGCTATCATGTACTGATTTTTTTTACTGTTTTCTGGTCTTACTGTGAATCATGGATTTTACAGTGTTGCATGGTGTACTGCAGTTTATGTTGTATATTACGGATTTTATTGGGTTGGGGGCAGCCCAGGCAGCCTATAGCTATATACAGCAAATAAATAAAAATGTGGGGTAAACCACATCATGGAAGAGAGGGATGTGGCTGCACATCTGGGAAAGGAAGAGAAGTGGTTAAAAACCATTTATAATTCGGTTTCTACTGCTAATTTGTTTTATTCGGGTTAATATTGGGAAGCTGCCTCGAGTCTAAAGGTGGGTCCTGGAATGGGCCTGTGCCATGGAAAAGGAACAGAAATATGCCTGAGCTTCTTAAGCAAGGAATGGGATAGGGATGAAAGTTAAGAAATAGATGCATGAGTTGACTGGCCAGATGACACTTGAGAGAGAAAAGTTAGTAGGGCTGCAAAGTCCAGTGTGATTAATAACATGCATTTTTATTATCTCGAACGGCACACCCAACGCAAGCAGGAAGCAGATTCTCTTACGGGGTTGCCTGCTGCAAGCCACATATATCTCACCCCCAAGCGTGGACAAAATGCTGCTCTTTAGCAGTGCGGGTCTCTCTTGTGTGCAAACGTTTGGAAATTGAATCGATTGCCTAAGGAGCCCATGATCGACCAATTATGATCCCCCGGCAGTTCAGAGGGCAGAACGGCCCCAAGCGCTGAGCGCTGAAGTGCAGTTCAGCTGATTTTTTTTAAAAAAAATTAATTACAGAGAGGACTGTTAGGGGCTAGGTACTTTCTCAACCACCCGGCCCATCTCTACTGCCTGCACTGGTTTGTGGTATTTTGCTCTTAGGGAAGGTATGCTGAGCAGGATGATAACCGGGCCTGAGGGACTGGGGTGCAGATGCCGTGCTTGGGGGCCTGCCCAGCGCTGAGCCTGCGGAGACAGACCATGACGACATTCGCCGTTGCGATGTGGAGGGCCACATGCACAGAGCAAGCAGCGTCTTAAGGATACGTTTACCTGAGAATTTAGCCAGTATTTTTACAATGGTGCATGGAGCAGGCGGCCCAGGTGGGAGGGCTGGGGAAGGTTTACTGGGAGCAGCGGGCAGGGTGGCGCAGGCAGGTGCCAACTTCACATCCACAGCCTGCTCCAGGCAGAGGGGCCTTTTTTCCAAAGCGGACTTCTGCGCAGGTGCTGGGGGGCTTGCGGACATCTCGGCAGGCTTCCCGGGACACCAGCCCCCAGGTGGGGAGGCCTTGCTCGGTGGAGGCCGTGGCTTCTCCAGCTCCATCTTCCGGCCAACTTCTTTGAGGGCCTTGATGGTAAGGCGCTCCTGCTCCAAGTCCTGAGTTGCCTTGGGAGGCTCCGGGAAGCGTGGTGCCGCCACTTCGGATCTCGCCGCTTTGAGCTCGGCCTCCGTGAAGGTTTCAACGGAGTCTTCGGGGGATTCGCTCCCTTTGGATTTCAAGCACTCCTTCATGAAGTCCATAAAGCTCTCCCCGTTGCTTGTGTCTGGATACATGGCCTCTTCCAGACTGTCCAAGGGAAGAGAAGGGGGACCTCCTCTCGGGGGAAGGGGGCGGTGCTCTGCTTGAGCCCACTCCTCAACCAAGTCCTGTTGGCAAGTGCCCAGATCCTGCCCTGCTTTAGCAGGCCCACGTGAAGTGGACCGTGGGCTGGGCTGCGGTGCAGCAACGGGACTCCCCCCAAGAGCATCAGCCTTAGCCTGGACCGCTTCAAACCCATCAGCAGTTCCCCACTTGCACTCCAGGGCCCTGGGAGGAATCCCACCCCCTTGGCGGGGTCCGCGTGGTTCGTCCGGTGCCCCGTCATCATCGGAGGGTTCAGCCCCCTTTTCCGCACAACCGGCTAGGTGTGTGGGTGCCCCGCTGCTCTCCGCAGCCTTCTCGTTTTGGAAGGTCGGCTCCACTGTTGGGTCTTCGATGACGGTATCGTCGGACTCCCCAGAGCTGTCGGCATCCATTATTTCAGGCAGGGCAGGATTCGGCCAACAGGCATCGGCCTGCAGCTCTCCTGGGGCTGGGGCAGCAGTCTTGGCGGCGGCAGAATCTCGACCTGCAACGGACCGCTGCTCCTCTGCCTCTGGAGACGGCTGGCCTTTTGGGCGGAGGATGATGGTGAGAGGCTGGTGAGGGGCCGGAGCTTTGCCGAACGTCACGTTGCCACCTGCTGGCCCCGAGGTGACGTGGTTTGTGTCTTTGGTGGGGGCGGCCGAGAAGCCCGAGCTGACAAAGTCGTCGTCGGGCTTGCCGTTGAGGTCCCTGGGGATCAAGTCCCAGCTGAGCAGCTCACTCGTGAAGCTGTGCATCTCACGGACGCACTTGGAGACTTCTTCGAGCGCGGCGGTGGTGCCTGAAGACTGGCGGGAGAGGCCCGGCCCCGACGGGACTCTGCTCCCAGCCCGTGGCTTCACCTGGAACTCGCACACGCTGTCCTCTGGAATGTCGGTCAGCAGCTCCCTCTCGCTGTGCACAACCCAGTTGCTACCGATGTCGTCAGAGTGGCTTGTGAAGGCGCCTCTGAACTCCTTGTCGAAGTCCAGCTTGTCGGCGATGACCTCGAAGGGAGACTCGGGGGAATCTTTTTCTCCAGTGGCCTCGCCAGCTACCGTGGGGGCTGTTGAGGAATGTGGCTGCCCTGCAGGTTCCTCTTCCAGGTCGGTTAGCAAAGCAAATGTGGATTCTTCACTGAAGGCCGGTTCCTTGAGTTGGTCAGGTCCACTTGGACCACCGGCAGAGACATTGGCCTTAACGTCATTAAAACCCGGGCAACCAGCCTGCGCCGCTGGGCCATGGCTATGGATTTTGGATCCCACAGAGAACATGGATTTCTCCTGGCTGGACGGTCCTACAGAAGCTGGCCCCGGCGCCAAACTTTCAGAAGTCCCACAGACACGGCCTTGCACTTCACCAACTATTTGCTCTTCCTCCGCGTTCCAGGTGGTAGATTTGCCACTTGTTCCCCTCTGGTTTTCTGACTGTGTTAAACAAGCAACCTGAGCGCCAGCTGATGAAAAGAAGACAGGGGAAGGGGAGTTGCAACCTCGGTAGCCAAGCTGAGGGCTACAGGAAGCCATCCGGCTGAACCCCGTTCTTAGAGCCAAGATTTCTTCTCTCTCTTTAATGGGACAAATGCACATAGGATGCACACTCAGGCAGGCAGCATGCGCTCGGATCGAGGGAGACGACAACACCACCAACACGCCTGACTTGGCGAGCATGCGTGAGACGGTCGCCCAGAACGCGGGGACGTTGCAAGGGAGCCACATCACAGGAAGAACACAATCCACATGAACACAAAAGCCACCGACAGTCCGTTTCAGAGCAGGTAAAGAGCTTAGGCCAGCAAAATAAGAATGGTGGTAATAGTAATAATAATAGCATAAATGGCTGCAGGCATGCGGAGTGGATGAACAGAAGCAACCCAAGGTAGAGCACACAAACTCTTCAACTGTCACAAAGAACTGCTGGATGCTTAAAGGGTGGCAAGGCTGCAGGGCTACTGTGGTTTAGCACTGGATTCTGTATTTGCATTTACTGCAGTTTTATATCCTGTCCCATTCCCATGGGCTCTGGGCAGTTTACAAGAGATTAGACCCAATAAGGAGTTCTTTATTAGCAACTTAGATCGTATTTTTTGGTTCACCAGCTTGGCTACCCATCAAGTCAATGAGCTGCTTCAAAATTCCTTTAATGTGCCCAGATGTTAAAGCAGCCCCAAAGTCAGCGGGAACTTCTCAGAAATCCTAAGACACCGAGAAACTCTGTATCTCTGTGAATGTGATGTGCTTTACTGGGGTTTGCAAATGCCTGTGCTAGCCTTTTTAATCCCTAAGGGGCAGAGCAATGCTGCTCTTTCCAGGTACTGTCCCGGAGGCTGCAGGACCAGGTGAACTGGAGGCAGGCTGCAGCTCAGGGGTCAGACACCCTGACTGCGTGCAGAAGGGGCCAAGGGTGATCCCCGGCTGGTCAGGCTGGACTGGGAAGACCCAGCTTAGGGCGCTGCAGACCAGATGGGCCAGCAATTCAGCCACACAGAAGGGAGCATTCTAAAACGCTTCCTACAGACGCCATGTTATTCTGGGCCTTTCCGCAGGGTAAGTGCTCCAAAGCCCCCAAGATGCGAAGAACAACTCTATCCAATCGTTTCCAGACTTAGTTACCTGAACTGCAAAGCAATTCTCCTCCCATGTGGGGCAGGGATGAGGAAAGTTGCCGAGGGGGCAGGCACCAGCCCACACAGCCCGACGGAATGGCACTTCCACTACTGCACATGGCCTGGCACCGAAGCCATGGGAAAAACCGCCCTGGAGCAGCAGCAGCGCACAGCTGGGAGAGGCCAGCCCCGGGGCATGATCCCGGTTCCAGGACTGCATTCCCAAGCAAGGGCTGGGAGTCTATGGCCGTAGGATCTCAGGATCGGGGCTAGCGATATGTCCTCATCAGGACTAAAGTCTTGGTCTTCACAAGCCGCCCGGAGAAGGTTGGAAGAGCTTATGATGAAAAACCTAACAAACTGAAGTGTGCCCCTTCTGGCTGCAGCGTTTACTTCGCTCCCTCTTTCCCAAGCCACAGAGAGTCGGCCGGGGCCAAGAACTGCCGGGGTGCTTTCTGAAGTGCTGTGGTTGGCATACCCACGTTACCCAGACAGCAGCTGCTCCGGGGGCAAAACAGCTCTGATGAGGGAGAGGCACCGCTGCATGGCCAGGACTCAGGGATTGGATCAGTTTGGCCTGGCTGCCCAAGACGCCTCCTCCTGCAACACAGGCTGGATCCCTCTCCACTCTGAAAGAGAAGAGATCTCCTTTCCAAACAGGCCACAATTGCATGTTAAGGCGTTTCAGAGTCACAGGTAGGCTGAGAAAGTGTCAGCAAAAATTGTGCATGCATGATGGACGAGGAGCCAGCCCTGTGTGGTGATCCGTCAGATCCACCTGGTTGTAACTGGTTGTGTTCCTTTAAAAAGAGGAGGAAGCAGAAGGTGGGTATGCCTGCACGACAGTTTTTTGACTGGAAAATTGAATGGTTTCATGTTTAATTAATATTAATATCAATAATTGAATGAGTGGAGCCGGCTGGAATGTAAAGCCATCGCCCACCGTCTCAGGCTAGCAATCCCTGCTCTGCCAGCTACTGGCGGCAATCAGACTGGGACAGGGAAGGCTGCGAAGCAAGACGTGTGGGTGCTAGACCCCCAAAGAGGCAGCACAGCCGAAAGCCATGGCTAAGCCCCTTCACCACCTCGTGCCTCAAGCCGGAGACAGCCAGACACATCTGGGCAATTTGCGATCGTCCACAACACCCAGTGCAGGCCTCGGCTCTTGGAGGAAGCCCCCACCCAACCTCATGCAGGGAGAAGCTGGACCCCCTGCCCTGGCACTGAAAACCTGAGGAGCTTGGAGCTTTGCGGTAGCCTCCTACTGAACGACAGAGCCTTCAGAATATTCCTCTGCAGCATTCAGTGCTGATACTGAAACAAGCTTCTCTCAGGAGGAAGGTCCTTCTGGCATGTGGAAGGCACCTGGGTTAAATCCCTCGCACGGCGCTCCCCAACCTGGCAAGAGGATGCGCTGCTCTCATTAAAAGGCTTCATGTCGCAACGCCAGGAAAGCGGTCTTGGTGCCCTCCGTCCCAACAGCAATGCGTTAGATGGACAAACTGGGGTAAGGCAACACCATACCAACCAAGAACCTCTAACCAGAAGCTTCCTGAAGAGCAGGGTTATTCTCAGACATTTCCATAATTCCACTTAGAACAGAAGAGTATGCCAATCTGCGAAAAAGGGAATGGCGCAGGAGCCAGCCAGCCAGCCAGCCAGCCAGCGAGCTGAGGGAAAGACGCCTGGGTTGGCAAGGGGCCCGAAGGCACCATGCGCCGGTGCCCGCGATTTCGTCATCGATGCGGCGGGCACCAAACAAGACAAAGCCACTCCAAGCCATTCTCTGCCCCAAGGAAGCCTCCCGGCATTCGGATGCTGCTGCCCTCACCCCAGACCAAGGCCACAGGGGTATCTTTCACCCTGAGCAAGGCCATGCCCCAAGTATTTAGCACCTAGCTAATACGCATGATTTACTCAGGACACTCCCAGCCACAAGCCGGTGGCTCAGCTCACTTTGACTCGCGGGGGCCAGTAGCCAAGACTGCTCTTTGGCACCCCGAAACAGAGCCAAAACGAAGGAATGGCACAGCTCTGGCTATGAAAAGGGATTGGACGTCTTTTGTGGCTGAGAAGACTGTCAACGGCTGCCGCTCATGTTGGCCGCGCTCATTTCAGACCAGGCTAATCCAAAATACTTTGCGGCACAACGGGGGTAAGCTTGCGAGTCCGTATTGCTGCCGGTAAAACTGTACCCAGCCCACCGCTCTCCTCAGCTGCAAGGAGGACGACTGAATCCTGTGGGGGAGGCATAAAACGATCGTGGCACGGAGTCCTTGTAAGCCCCGGCCCCACTAAACGGCTATGTCACCTCCAAATCCATCAAGACTCTGAGCTACCCTTTGCTGGGGAACATGGGTGGGAGGCTGCACTTATGTTGCGCCAGTGGGTTTTCAGTGAGCCGCTCGTTGGCCACAGTGGGATGCAAAATGCTGGACTCGCTGTGCCTTTAATGCAACCCAGCAAAGCTCCGACAGAAAGGTACACAACAGCCCCTCACTGCTTAATACAAAGAAGAAACTCTTTCAGTGTTTCCAAAGCACGTTTCTAGCTCTTACCTGCTTCAAGAAAAACAGGCCTAGCATGTGGGCAGTATCTGATGAAAGCCATGCCTTTCAAACAGTGTTCTGCAGAACTGCGGTTCCCCGGGATGCTCACATCAGGGGTTCCTAAATTAGAAACTCAGCAATGGGGAATGAATGAACCTGAAAGGAGGTCTGTTTGCCCGGCTTCCACAGCCATAGACAGCCTCAAAGGAGAGCTTGGAACAATCCAGGCCCAGTGGGTGCTGGAATCTGCTGGAACATGAGAGCAGTCCTCTGTTGAAAGACCAATGAGGGGAAGGAGCTCCCAGAAGGCAAGGGGCTTGAAAAGCCCTGAGTGTCAGAAAAGATCTGGAAGATGCCCCGAGCAGTCCTGCTTCAAAGCTCTCCTGCTCAGACTTGTGGCTCAACCAGGGCTCGGGTGCCAGAGCTGTGCCTTAGCCTCATGAGCTTCTCCTTGGGCTCACAATTCTGTTCCCTCCCTTTCTGGTTCATAATAACCATGGTTTGTGCTTGGGTCCCAACAGAGCCAGAAGCGCTTACCATAAACCTCATAGAAAAGCCAGTTCAAAGCCTTGGCTTCGAAATCCTGCTCTGGCGCGAATCACGGTTTGCGGTTGTCACCGTTTCTGTTACCTGGATGTCGTGGCAAACTACTTACTGGAAAGTAACAGAGGACAGGAAAGAGTGGAATGGGACAGAGCTCAAGGCATGGACCAAGGCATGGTGTGGCCAAAGCAGCTGGAGGAGGAGCTCCAGTGATGTCCCTGCAGCCCTGGCCCCCTAGTGCTCCTCTAGCACACTGGCCCTCGAGCAACGCAAGGCAGTCCTGACCCTACCAGGCTACAGTTTTGCTAAGCCTATCCCAAACTGCACACAGTTTCTTTCCGTGACATCATTGGGGACTCTGGGATCCATTTCCTTCCCAGCACAAGCCCTGGAACCATCTGCCACTCCTTGTCCAGTGACACTGGGAGCCTGCACGTTTGCCATTGCCACCACCAAAACCTCCAGCTGGAAGGTACCAGCTGGTCCTCCATTTAAAGGGAAATTAGACTCATGTGTGTGTGTCCCGTTACCTCAAAAAGCACGTTTAAAAAGACAACGGTGAAGCTACGAAGGGGGGGAAAGGGAGAAACACAGCGTGCAAAAGCAGGTCCTGGAGTCACAGCAAGGGACGGCCGCGGCACCGAGAGAGGAAGTTAGCCAGCGCTTTGAAGCCAAGCTCGGTCTCAAGGGGGCTTGAAGTCGAGGGGGAAAGTGAGAAGAAAAATGTTTGCATTTCCAAAAAAGGCTGTAACTGGTTTCCCGTGGCTTGCCCCAAATGCCTTTTATTGTTGCAACTTCCTATTCCAGATGCCGAGAGGATTCAAAGGGCAAGGAGTGTGGCTATCGGCCATCATTGGCCAACGGAGCCTCCACTCCAGGGGCTTCTGTCCCAGGAAGAGAATGTGCTCGGGACACACCAGCGGGCCTTCATGCCCTGCTGGCCAGCTACCAGGGACAGCTGGTGGGCTTCCGGTGGAAGCAAGATGATACATTTGATAAATCTTTGCTCTGCTTCATCAGAGCGATCCTAGCAATTGGACGGTCTTAATAAGGTGGCCAGGGGCAAGCCGTTGCCCTTGGCTTCATTTTGCTGCAACAGGTACGTGGCAGCACCAGGTGAAATGCTTTCCAGGGCAGTTCTGGCCAGTTGCCAATTGAGGAACCCCATCCTGGCACACTGTCCGACCATCCCTGCACTACACCAGTATGTGTCTTTTCAGAGACCTGATCATGAGGGCAAAATGCAATCAGGCAGGAGGAATGAACCACGTTTGACTCTTAGGTGTGAGTGAATGCACTGTTTGATCCTTGGAAGGATGTGCTCCAAGAGGCTTCCAGAAGCCTCAGCTACGGGCACTACCACCAGATCAAGAACAGCCGGCACCTCGAACCTTCTGCAAGTAGTTAGGAGAAAGACACCCAGATGGACGTTATTTTTCAGTAGGCTGACCACTGCACTGGATGTATTTTGCTTTGTGTCCAAATGGTCTCCTAAGCTTCTGAACCTATGTAGACTCTTAAAGGAGTAGCTTTCTTCAAGCCATGTGCTGAGAAACTTGAGACTCCTTCAAGCTCCTCACTGAGAAGAACGGGCTTGGCAGAGGAGCTTTCGTGGAATCGCTCGCCTGCTTCTGTCCATCTTCCCCTGCCATGCGCAGCCAGAGGAGAGTGGTGGGCCAAGACATGTGCTCACTGTTTCGTGGGCTGTCAGTGAGGCGCGAGAGGCCTGCTTCAGCACGTGCCACGGACTCCTCCCCAGTGGGCAAGGGGTCCCTCACAGGGTTCCCTGAAGGTGGAAAGTCACCCCATGGAAGGTGGCAAGCGAGTTTCCAGAGCCTCTCCAGAGCAGGGCATTCCTGAGACTCCTGTGAAAAACATGAAGGGCAGGGACACATTCGCTTCACTGCACTCCCTACCTCTATCTAGTTTCTCCATCTGATGTGTCTTCCCTCATCCGATTCCTCTGTGGACTCCATTTCTACCTTGTCTCGGGCATATAAATCAAGCTGCGGGACCATCCAGCTGCCACGGACCCAGACACATCCAAGCCATGCGCTCTGCCACTGAGCTCTGGGCCCTCCCCTCCCCGGTGATGCAATGGAAGCCTATGTCTCTCACCCACATGCGCACCCCGTGAGAGCCGGCAGGCTGAGGCTCTTCGGCATCTTCTTTCACAGGTCAGCCTCACTCCTCCTTCCGAGGAATGGCACAAAACAGCATTCCTTCCAACTCCCTTTGTGTCACGTGGCAAGAAAGCCACAACAACCTACCACAAACTATCTGCATGGATACAACAGCCAGAAGGCATGCAGGCTAGGAAGAGCCTCGTCTCATTTGCTGTAGGAAATGCTTCTCCCGGAGTTCAGGACAGCGGGCTTCAAACTCGGTCCTGCTGCAAAATGCTTTGCCGGTTCATGAGGATTCCTTGTGCACTGCACAGGGTCTGAAGCGTGTTCTATCGAGGGTGAACGCTCAGTATACAGGACCCTCCCCAGCTCCTCTGGATCTCTGTTTGAACTGGATGCCCTAAAAGTACCCAACACTCCCCTGCAGGAGGTTGTGGCAGAGAGGCTCACGCAGGGCAGCCCAGCTGGCTTTCAGACAAGGTGTTTATCGGCTGCCGACACGCTTCTCACCAATAAATCACCAGCATCCCAGAGTTTGAAGAGCACTGGCCTAAGACAAATTTCTAGCTAAGAGACAACTAGAGGAAGGCTACAACTATACTAAGGGCTACTGCTAACTTCAGCGAGGGAGACGTGCCCAGGGAGACGAGCTGCACTGGATTCCGGTTCACCTTGGTAGGCCAGCTGGAGCTAAATCGATATTGTCCTTTCTGAACCTGGCCAGGCTGAGGCCAGTTCCGTCTTACATTTTGTTCTTCTCACATGTACCACCAAACCCTTGCCCTTCCTCTCGCTTTCCTGGGAATATTTACTGTCTTGATGGGGAACAATCCATCTTTGAATTTGTGGGCAGGATCGCCATTGTTGTTTTGCTGCAGCTGTGGCTTTGTTTTTCCAAAATGCGACTGCCAAATCGGGCTCATCAGAGTCGACTGGGAGTGCAAGTGGCAGGTTTCAAGGTTGTACACCTTTCATACAGCAGTAGTTGGAAATGAAAGTTCGCTCATGAAGGTGGAAACCAGCTTCACCAGGGAATGGATGGATAACTGTTAGTGTAACCCAGTGACTTGCTCTGGAGGGAATGAAACGTTTTGCAGGTTAAGTGGAAGGACTGCCTCCATCCTGTCCCCAGTTACAGCCTCTTTCTCAACATTTTTCTTTTATTAGGGGTACAAGAAAAATGACAAACTTGCCTTGTGAGGTCGAAAAGAGAGAGACAGGCTGAGAGGAAGAAACAAAGGAATCTGAAAGGAAAATACACAGGATGAGACTTGACAACCCTGGAGTGGAGGAAGACAAGCATTTCGTTAAGACTTTTTTTTTTTCCTTTGTAGCAAAATCCAATTTCCAAGCTGCGGCTGGGCCATAGGAAAGGGGCAGGGGAAGATCAGCAGCAGATACTCACTCACCTTGCCGAAAGATTTTATGAGGTGCCTATGAAAGCCACGCAAAATGAATCGTACCGATGGGCTTGGGTGGAACATGATATTCTCATCACATGAGAACAAATGATTTGAAGGGAATGCTAGGAGAAGAACAGGTCAACACACAGTAGTTGCGCTCCAAAGGTAATTGACAGACTTTTGGAATTGGCCGGGGCCGAAACGAGCCCTTGAAAGTGGCCCCCGCATTTTGGGAGGCTTTGCCTGGATATGCAACATCAAGGGTCGCCTATGTTAGCTTCTGCCAAATGCAGTTACTAGGGCTTTTCCTGAAGATCCAGAAGTAGGCTCCTTGGATGGTGGGAGGGACAGCACCAGAAGTGTGGCATCTACACAACAGGTACCTCCTTTTCGGCACCGAATTCCAGGGCAGATCTAGCAATAAACCAATTCAGCTACTCTAAATTACAAAAGGAAAGAGCAGAGCAGATGTTGCTATGTCACTGAAACCTGATTCAGCAGTGATCCGGAAACTTCGCACAACACAGGCTGAAGTTTTGACGAGCTGTATTACAGGACCGTTTTCCCAGAGACGCAAAATACAACCGTCCTTGTTGCCAAAGCGTCTCTCTTCAGCAGAGAAGCATACCGATTCCTTTGCTGTTCTGCTGCTTCCTTGTCTTTTCCTAGCAAGCATCTGACTAGAATGCTGCCCCTTGCCCAAGCTCAACATTGCCTCCTCATGGGGACGACTGCCATTTACCTGCACATAAATGCGTTACGTCAAGCTATGGCCTGGACTGCAAAACGTTCCAGGCATATCACGCTTTCGGGCTGCCAGTTTGCTCCCGTTCTCATCTCCACATGGAAGGGCCTGTGGGAGCGGCATGGTCTGACATTCCAGGTCGTGTGTCCGGCCTGGCGGAAGAGACCATGGTTTGCAACTCACCATTTGTGCTCGCTGAGTGACAAACCTAGAACTCCGCTCACTCCATGCCTTCTCATGTACCTTGTGACACCTAATACAGCAGGTGATAAGGCGAAGTCCCCTTCCTGCTTGCGCCGACACTGTGGCACTCCTACCACAGAGAAGCTTACTCGCTTCAGGTGAGCTCCAGGTGTGCGGACTGCAACTCCAATCATCCCCAATCAGTACAGCCAAGAGCAAATTTGACCCAGGCTGGGGGGGGGGGTTAACAGGAGTTGGAAGTCTAACCTAATGAAAGGGTACCAACTTAGGGAAGGCTGTCAACCAAGCCAAGCTAGTTCTTTTCCGGAAGGTGTCTGGGCGACCCTGATTTGTTTTGCTTTTTTTATCCTATAATATATTGTTTGAGGCACAAAGGTCATGCACCCCAGTGCTCTCTGAAATTTGTGTACTGAAAAGCATTTTGTAGAGCTATACAGTGCTAAAAGAGTTATTCAGCTTGTTTGCAAAGAAGCCAAATTCAATCTTTTAATTCTATGAAGCGGTTTGCCACTGAATTTTGGCAACTGAAAAAGGTTATGTGCCTCCCATGGGAAGGTGTTTTGTCCTTTCCCATTTGGAAATGATAATAATGGTCACTGGGTCTCCCACAGCTGCCCCATCCTGGCCTTACCCCCCAAAACTTTTTAAAACACATGTTTTATTCGTTCTGCGCCATCTTGGAGAAACTTTGTTAAAAGGGAGATCAAAACAGCTAATAAATACCAGCCGCTCACCGGGCTTGTCTGAGACTGCGGTTTCTGACGATACACACCTTTCATAGGTCAACACAGGGCGCACTGTCACTGCAAAGAGCCTGACCTATGGCTCAGCGTGCAAGTGTTGGAAAGGCCCCGCTTCCACTCATCACAAAGCGATCCTGCTGGTTTCACGCTGGAGATATCGCCCCGAAAGAATACGCGAAGAAACCGGTTCCTTCGACTCTCCGCAGACCTTGCCAGGTGACTCACGTTTTCCGATCCAGCCTCATCGAGGAGAGGTGGTGCGGTGAACTCCCGAGGCCCATGCACCCGGTTGGGAAATTATTGGCAAGAGCTCCGCTGGGACAACAGGCGAAGGGAGGAGACTCTCACCAGCCACTTCTCACGCCTTTCCGTGCTCCCCGGCCCCGCTGAGCATTTCGACATCAGGGCTGTTCACCAGAGCAGGCACCCAAGCCCCAGGTGGGCTGGGGGTCTCTTCTCCCTCCCCTTACAATAAGGCAGCTGTGGGGCTTTCACAAAGCTCACTCAGCACAATGTGTGGCTGGAGCATATGCATTTTCATATAGAAAAGGATGCATTAATGAAGTGAATGAATACCGAGGCATCTTTCCTCGCTTTGCCCGGGGACTTCGTCACCATTTCTCCAGTCCAGCTGTTCTGCCAATGGGACTATTCAGTATCGCTCGCTCGCGGGATTAGCAGTCAATGGCATCTCTATTTTGATCGATCAGGCCCTGAAAGAGGCCTGCACACGGCTAGCGCTCTAGAGGGCTCTTTGTACGAGTTCTTTTCATGGCATCCTAAATGCATCCCAAGTGTGGATTTGTATTCAGCAAAAGGAGCTGTGCCAATGCTCTAAAAAGTATGGAAACCATGCTAGGAAATGATGATGATGATAATTAATACCAACAGCAGCAACAACCGCAACCACAAGGCCTTTCTAGGCAGAGGGCAGCACAAAGCAAAATGGTTCTAGGCACATGCTCGTTACGACTGTCTCGTTATTGGATGGGGTCTAGCCAAGGGGTCCAGCGAGACAGATTACAAGCAAGAGTCGCGAACATCGAAAGTGCTCACTGCAAAACACGAAGCCAAGCTACTAGAATGTTTAGCAGCACTGCCCTAAAGGAGGGATGACTGGTGGCTTGGAATACCTCGTGCTGTGCGGAAACCTTAAAACGGCCTGATAAGCATCTACCATTTTCTTGACTCATCACGGACTTGCTTTAAAATGCGACAGCCATTCTTAGCCTTCTGCATAGCTCTCAAGAAGGGCGTTTCTCATGTGTGCACCAATATTTTTAAGCACCATTGTATAACATGGGGCTGGCTTGCAAAGCCTATGGATCAACGGCAGCAACGAGATCGCATCCCCATTCCCACCGTACTACTGAAATGACGAAAGCAGGGGTGAAGCAACCGGAATGTTTGGGGATTCTTACGCAGAAAGGCTGTGAACTCACACAAGTTCTGATGCCCAGAATTAATTCCCAAGGTCAGAATTCTTCCACTCTGCATGTGCCCCTTTTGTGCCTGGTTCCGCTGGGCGGATCCAGGGGTTCTAGGAAAAACAACCAAGCGGGCCAAAAGTGAAGCCTGCCCACCTCAATGAGTCATTCTCCCAATTTGGTAGGGATGAGAGAGAAAAAGCTTGCCAAATGCGATCTAATACATTTATGACCCGGGGCTTCCCGGAGCACACTCCTCAACGAGCGGGGTGTTTCATTTAGAGTCCCAGTTTGCATTTGCTTCAGGCTAGGGTTATGGATGTTTATTCCTCTAGAATCCCAGGACTGTAGTGCCTCTGGAAAAACGACAGGACAACAAACACTAGCACCCACAGCTTCATGTGGATGACAGATATGGCGTTTTATGAGACACCGCTTTGAACAGCGATTCCTCGGTGGGAGAGACGGGGAAGGTTTGCATGGGAGAATGCTAGATGGGATCCAGGCTGGGTCTAGTTGTGTTTGTAAACTTGACATTAATCTGGCCCATGAATGGATGGCAGGACCAACCTCTCCCCATAACTGGCTGCCCAGTGACTGGCATCCGATGCTCATCCCTGAATGCCTGGCATTTTTGATGCAATCGGGAGACAGGGCCTTCCCGGGCCTCCTTGTTTCCAGAATGTACCACTCTCCAGACAAGTGATGCAACTCATCTGCTCACCAGAGATTTATGGTGAATGGCAAAGCAGCCTACAAACCACGTGACGAAAACTCTCCCTCGGGGTAAGCAAGCAGCACGTCTGGCGGGGGTGTGATTCTTTTCCCACCCGCAGTCCTATGGCCACCTGACATCGTCTGGGGGATGCCCAGGGTTTCTCCGCTCCCCCCCACAGCTGCGATAGGCAGAACCATGCCGGCTCCCCTCCCAAGGTCAAAAACTGCCTAGGAGGAAACTGGGTATGTTGGGTGGGCAGGGAGGGGAGGAGGCTGGCTCCAAGCGTGCAGCACCTCAACCCCCTTCCTTCCCCCCCCCCCAAGCCCGCTTCTGCTAGTCCGGAGGAAACAAGACACCAGGGAAACGCAGGGCGGGCAGGCTGCGACACCACCCCTCACTCCAAGCCGCAGGTGCAGCAGGTCTCCAGATGGAGAGCCTCGCACGCAGGGGCAGGGGGGCACCGTGTCTTGTGCCCGCCGTGGTTTGTGGCCAGAGAGTACGTGTGAGAAAGTGCACCAGTAAAACCTCTTGCGATCGTTGTGGGCGTACGTGCAGGGCCGTGAGATAAAGGGCGGATTGTATTGCCACTGAAGCAGCAAACAGGGCTTTGCAAGATGCATGGCTGACTTCCCAACCGAGCCACTGCCAAGCTCTGTTGAGCAAGAACGATAATGGCGCATGGAAAGCGCGCTGCTATGCAAGCAGGTTACCAGAATCTTGCAGCACAAATGCTTCTGGGACGAGAACTCTGGGGCGTGAAAACAAATACGGACGGAGCAGAACAGCTGCCTCTGGTGCTTAGCTACCCTGGGCTGAGAAACGTTTCGCTGCAGTTGCGACTCGGTAACATCCTTCTGGGCCATGCACGGTTTCTCTCATAGTCACAGCCCACCTCAGCCCAAGCCAACCTGCTTCCACCTACCAGGAGCCAAGCCAATGGCCACCAAATTACTGGAATAAATGGCAAGTCCCCAGCACCCACCCTCCAGTCCAAATACGCTGCT